AGACTACTTCCTTTCCTGCTGGTGTTCATGCTCAAGTGAGTGTCTTTGGGATAAATGACTCCTTTCAAAATAAACATGGTGAATTCTTAGAACTCAGCTAAGCAGGAAAGGAAATCCCCTGGACGAACCGGGTCCGATGCAGGGGTTTGGAGTTACACGCTGAGAAACTTTGCTTGTTTAACAGAGAGGCTTTCTCCAGGGTAATAAAACTCTCACATTGCTGTGCCAGGGATTTTCCATGAGGTGTGTGTCAGCGGGTGGTGGGAGCTGCAGTTTCTGTGGCCGGTCATAGAAATGAAGTGAGATCACCCCAGAGAAGCCGACCACAGATCCCAGTGAGTCCACAACAGAAAGAACTGGGAGGAGAGCTGGGGGAAGGGAGGTTCACATACAGCTCATGGGCCCCCCAAAGGCTTTTTTCCTTTAGCATCCAGTAATTAGCAGTCACGTTCCAGTCTGACAAAGCAGTCCCAAGGCTTCTCTATTCCCCTTCACCCAGGGGAAAGCCTCTCGCTAGGCAGGCTGAGGCAGATGTACAGCTCCATCAGCTTCCTTCCTGCCTAAAATTCCATAAGCAGCCCTGCTGCATGGAGGCAAAGGGCAATGCAACACAGCTGGGGCTCTCTAGGGAATGCAATGTTCAAACCTCATACAATCCCCCAGTTATTTGTACTGTAGTATTATAGAACCATAGAATATCAGGTTGGAGGGACCTCAAGGATCATTTGGTCCAACTGTTCTTGGCAAAGCATGACCTAGACTAGATGTCCCAGCACCCTGTCTAGCTGAATCTTAACAGCGTTCAGTGCTGGGGAGTCCACACTTCCAATGGCTGATTGTTCTTACTGTCAAAACCTTTCCTCTTGTGTTCACCAGCCTCTTCTCTGGACTAACTTGTGCCCATTGACCCCCATTTTTTCCACATGACTCCTTGTAAAAAGGGAGTCTCAGTCTTCTTTGCAGCCACCCTTTAAATACTGGGACATGGTGATAAGAGGATAAGATAATAGGCAGAAGGGGCTTCTTCACCCAGGCTCAAGAGAGCAGTGATTTAAGGTGGGGGTTCAGGACCCCATTTGAGATCCCACAGCTGGTGAACCTGCAACTCTCTGTTACTTAATGGTGAGGACAAAAAATCAAGGACTTGGATTCATATCTAAGGCAGACCAAACCTGACTAGAGCAGGCTGGGTCACAACAGCACTGTGAGCACCTCTCTTAAAGTCAGAATTCCGACACACTACATAACATCACCATGGGTTCTTCTTGCTTGTGTGTGCATTTGTACACACGGGATGGTGTTAAGGGGAGGTGTTTTTTAACGTGTGAATGCAAGGATACTTAGGTCTTGTGGCCATAGGGGTTTTTTCCCTAAAAGGGAAGAAAATGGAACAGTTTTCCAGCTTTCTTTTTGATGTAGTTTCCATTTTACGTGACACTGGTTTGGGGATGTCAGTTAAGGTTAGTGGTCTTCAACCTTCTGTATCTTGGTACTGCTTTCAGCAATCAACTAGTGCAATAAGACAACTGATGGGCCCCATAAAAGCACAGAGAGTTTGGCTGTGAAATAGAAGAACATATATTGACTGTAGCTACTCCTCTACTATCAGATTTCATCATGGTAATGCTAATGCACAGCAAACAGGCAACATTTGCCTGACAACACCATGATACCATCACAGACCTCACTCTTAAATCAGGTCAATACCAATCTACAGTTTCATGATGTAAGATTTCAGAATGGGCCTGGTGCCTCCAAAGTACCAGAGTGGATTGATGAAGGTGACACGGGGCCACCTAGGAATCACAGCACTTCTCCTGAGGCAGTGCTGGCCAGCTTGACCTTCAAAGATCATTCTCACTGCTCAAAAACACCACAACATCCCTCAGGACAAGTCCAATGGATACTTTTATTAGCTCCTTCAGGAGTACAAACGTTGACCTGGCTGCTTAATGGCATGGCTCTCCCAAACACAACCTAATGAGACTGTGCAGCATCCAGCTTGTGTGGGGAATGACCCCAACCTCCTTTGCAACCAAGTGCACAGGATGGTCATGGGGCGGAGGGTGAACGCTGGTTGCAATGGAGGTATATCCAACCCTATGACATTTCAGGACTGCATTTAAAAAGACACTGCTGAAATGACATATGGAGTGACTTGCCCTCTAAGAGGAATTCGTTCTTTCAGCAGAAGCCCAACAAAAAACTCTGTGGATCCTGTCTACAGTCAACTGTGGAAAAGTCAAGGCAGAACCATACACATCCCTCCTGTGGTACGCAAGAAACCAGAGACACAATAGAAAGGGACCACAGGTCCTCTTCTTCACAAGAGGCCATGAGAGGCTGAGGCTGAAAAGGCTGGGTAACTCAAGAGGAGCTGAACATGTCCACCACCCAGGTCCTCTTGACAGCCCCAGTGGCCACTGCTCCACTTCCATAGCTAGGGAGAAGACACCTTCAAATGAAAGAGACTTTGCATGTGCAGAGAGCCTCTGGAGGCGCTCATTGGTTTGTTCCTTAAAAATGGACAGTGGGTATGACGAAAGGGTGAAATCTGGCTTTTCTGGTCTTCTCTGAAAGCCAAGAAACCTGATTTTTAGCTAGCAGGCTGGACAGTAGCAAGGAAACTACCACAGTGTGTCCTGGCACTTCTCTAAGCAATGTAGCAATGGGGGCAAGGCGGCTAAGGGATTGAGGAAGCAAGAACACTGTGCAGAGGGAAAAGCAAGTGTTGAAAATGGCAGCGAGAAAGGAAAGAGCTCAAAACTGAGGGGAAGAAGGAGCTAAAGGCCTGCAGCAAGTTCACCTTTTGTGGGAACACTTGAATTACTTTATAATCTCCCTTCTTGGTTGAGGCAACAAAGCATGGGATGGCTCCAGAAGATGTGAAACCGACTGAATCCCACTAGCAGGATGGGTTGAGCCAGCAGCAGATCATGTGAAACCAATAAATAAGGGGAATAAATGAGACAAGGAGGAAATTTTTATGGGGGAAAGAAAAAAAAAAAAGACAGTGAAATAACGTCTTGAGAATGGATGCGCTTTTTGTGAAATCTTTCCAAGAGGTGGCCAGGAGAGGGGTCAGATCCATTTACTATCTTATACAAAGCACCAGGCACCCTGGGGATTAATCTGCAAGAATGTTCCTTCACTGCAAGAAAATATCCCTGCAGCCACATGCTGCTGAGGCTGAACAATCCGACATCAGAATCCTTGTGGGAACTAGGCATGGACCACCAGGTATGGACCGAGCACCTTGGGGGAGCAGCCTGTGCCTGTCCTGCCTCACCTCTTAGCAGCGCGTGTGCCACGTAATTTAGCTATAAAATGTGTTACTGCAGCCTAGTGTGTTACATTAGTGCCTGTGCTTGGCATTAAACAGCTACTATATTCTGTCTCACATCCAGAAGGATGGTGGCCTTAAGTCAGTGCTACAGGAGCTTTAAAATAAAACACAAGCATACGTTCAGGATGACTAATGCATTCCCTGATGCTTACACAGAACGCGTTGGAAAAGTGGCTTTATTTTGTCTCTGTCGTTTAGCAAATGTGGCTCCGCATCCGTTGTGCTGGGCTGAGGGATGCAGACAGGCTCCCCACGTGAGCACAAGGATGTGGAGACACGGCTTATCTCAGTGGGGACAGCTGGGGAGCAGTTAGCACTGAGCACCGCTGCATCTCTACCCAAACCCCCTGCTCTGCATGGGGCAGGGTGATTTGTATCCATGTTAGTGCTGAGCCTCTTTAATCACATATAGGAAGGAGGCCAAGAGTCCCCTGAAATGGCAGCAGTTCCAGGACAACCCAGTACAGGGGAACAGAGGCTTCTCATGGGTTTTAAGGCAATAAAACCCAGTGCCCAGTTAGTCCCATAGGTCCTATTTGCTACAGGAGGGTGATGGCAACATATCAAGCCTTTTTCTCAGCCTGTTGCTTCCTTGCCATCCCTGGCTCCCTCCCCAAATCACTTCAGCTTATAACCATTACAGGTTGCCACTACTGTGGCTCTTTGCATTCACCACTCACTGCTGACAAGCATCTAAACCTGAGCAGGGCACACAGTGCCTACATCTGGGTGAGAGGTGAGTTCTCCCGAACAAACAAGCAGGTTTCCTTTCCCAAAGCACTATTTTACTCTTTGGTTTGCTAGTTTGATCATCTACTAATGAAATACTTCGAAATAAAAGCAAACAACAACTATTAACTACAGAAAACCACAACCACTGACTAATTAAAGCCTTTTTCCAACATACGAAAACCAAGACCACCCAACGGCAAGAGGAGAACTGATGAATCCTGGTAGGGATTTCTTACAGCTCTTTGCCCCCCTCTGCAACACACAGGAAGGACGAACTTTAATTGTATCCCACAGACACACTACTTATTAGCTGGGTTTTAATTTCCGAGAAGATAAACAGAAGTGTTAGAACAATGCTGAACTACGGAAGAGTACTCTGAATTACCTGGAGCTGAGAATTCAGACATACATCACATTTAGAGCTTGCATCCATTCTGGTTTGAGCTACTTTGGTTGGGTGGGTTATTCACACAAATATAATCCTTCTTTCAGCCCCCAACCAAAACCCAGGTATCAGAAAAGATCTCCCCAGATCCTCCTTGCAATAATAACAACCATTGGGAACATCATTTTCAGGAGAAGGCTCTGGAAAGATTGAGAAGGTTGGGAGTACACCTCTGTTACATCAGAGACAACTAGAAGATATATTTGGGCTCTTTGGTCATCTTTGCCCAACCACCCGCTCAGAAAAGAGATTGAGGTGCTTGTTAAGGTAAAGACAACTCAAGAAAAAAGGAAACTAATGCAGTCTGAAGCATCTCCAGATCTCAAGGGCCAGGTTTTTACAGTGGCTGTAGAAAGTAAGCTGAAATCCACCACTTGTGCTCGCCTCCACATGGCACCTTCACTGACTTGCCACCATTGTTATCAGTAATTCCTATCCAACTGTGACACAAAAAGAGAAAGAAAAGGAGACACTTACCCTCCTTCAAAGATCTTGATCCGGACTGGCTCTCCTCTTTTGGTTACAAGAGCCTCTTCTTCTGATTTCCCTCTTTTATCCTCTTCCTTCTCAGTTCTAGTTATATCTTTTCGACCTTCATTAGAAAGGAGCGAAGGCAAATGAACCTATCTCCCCAAAAGAGCAAAACAATCAATGATTACATACAAAATCACTCTAAGACAGACACAGACCAAACAGCCACAGAAAGAGCCAGCAACCTACCGCACATGCTGCTCCTGACAGCTAAGTGCAGTAATTAGGACACCCTCTTAACATACAGGGCCTCTGCTTCTGGATTTTGAACCCTGCTGGTTATATTTACTGTGACTGCTTACAGGTTTTTAAATCACCCTTGGTATATGGTGGTTCGATATTATCCAGCTCTTGCCAACTGGAAAATTGAGGCATAAAGAGAAGGGTCTTGGCTGGGTCACTCTGAGTGTGCGGTGGAGCCATGGGTCTCTGTTCCCAAATCCACTGCTCTGTCCTTGGATAATCCTCTAGTACATACATCTACTAAGGTCTAGAGAGAAGGCATCTGCAGAACTCATATATTTAGCCTCAATCTTTGGGTTTCCCCCACATATACACACATTCACACAATTCTGGACTTTAGCCATCTGAATGTGATATAAATCACTTGACGGTCAAAGCTCTCGGATGATTTCCTTTCCCTGAAACCCTGTTGCCAAGGGCGCAGCACAGAGAAAGCCACAAAACCAAAGGGAGAAAATAATCCTCAACCTCCCCAGATGCTCCCAGGGTAAAATCTGCTTTTCCACTATTTAAATTGCCACCCTTTGTTTAGACTGAAGTTTAAGTCATGCACTGACATCTCATCTGACATGTTTAATGTTATTTGTTACAGTATATGGACGTATATACAACTGCTTCTCTAGCTTTGTACGATGCAAGGGGAGCTCTCCACACCTGGAATGAAACCTGGATGTTGCCCTCTTACAACATAAAAGTACAAATAACAGGGGTATCCAAAGCTCCAAAAGAGGAAAGCAGATTGCTTTTCACCCCAGGTTACTCTTTATACAAGTGCAAGAACACCTTTCAAGTGCAACTAAGTTACTCATATCCTCCCTTTATATATAATTTATGGAAACAGACTGAAGGCATTTGAGAGACCAAGGTTATTAGAGGGATTTTGGTCTGAACATAGCCAACAAACTGGCAGAAGTCTAAAGGAGAGCTGGTCATCCTTGCCTCTACAGTTGCTGGAAAGAGATGATTCATCTGCCCCACCTTAGAACACCTATCTTAAGAGGGCAATGAATCACACAAGAGGTGCCTCTTTGTCTCCCATGGTTATAGGGGAAGCCAAAGAGTGACTAGCTCAAACTGAGACATGCAAGGTTTGGCGGGATACAAGCCAGGCTCCCGAGCAGCATGCTGCTGGTAACACCATCGTTCTCAGCAGGAGGAGAGATGGACTCACTCAGATGTAGCTTTGCAAAACTGAGCTTAAATATTTCAGGTGCTCACTTTAGAGCATTAAATGTACCCAAGACTGCTCTTTGCCCTTGAGTCCAGCTTGCACAGATTAGCCCACATCTGCACCATCAGACCCACATATCCTTCCTAGATGCCTCCTGGATTTGGGCCCTGTCCTTTCTCCCTAAAAGTGCCCAGGAATTGCTTGGGAGAAGAATATCAGCCCAGGACAGAATGATGCCAGGAACTATTTTAACTATTTAACAGCAGAAACAGTCTCAAGCTGGTATCTCTGGGCATGGAGGAAATCGGTGGCAGGTGAGACACTGAGCACCTTCAAAGATGAAACCTTGGCCGTTGTGACTTCACCTCCTGATATGAGCTGGTAACAACACTAGTGATAACCTTCCCAGTTCAGCTCCTGATTTACTGAGGAATACAAAACAATTGACTTTCTAGATGTAGCATGAGGTTTATTTATTGCAACTTTTGAAAGCACAAAACATAGACAGATGAAAGGCACCAGAGAGAGCCAAAATCATACAGTCACTACTATCCCCCTTTACAATCTCGTTTAATTTACAAAGTGTGCAAGCCCGATACAGTGCAATCATCCATCCCTACATGCACGCTGGAGCCTACAGTCACTTCAGAATTGATCTGCTCAATAAATCCCACTGGTAAGTTAAAAACCAAGCCAAGTACGTAGACAGTATACACAGTACTACTGTTTGCTGGTAGCTTGCTGCATGCATGATTATACAAAATATTAGAGCTGTTGTACATTTTCTGTTGTGTCAACTGACAACTTATAGTTACATAAAGAAGAAAATATTTAAGGGAAACAGCTAAGAGCGGAGTTAACTGAAGGTTGAACTTTCAACCTTGGATTGATACTACTTCTACGCAGCTCCTGTTAATCGCATCTTCCTGAGTAACCGGCAACGCTCCTTGTTAATCTGTGCCAGTCGTGTGTACTTTAAAAACTAAACTGAGGATTTCACTCCCACTGATCATCTAATCAGAAGTTATTTCTCTGCTTGTGTGAGGTCAATTTATCTCCATCGCAATTAACATCATTTCTGGAAGTCTCACTCCTTTAAGCAGCAGGTATTAATATTTCCATTTAGGCTACACCATTTCCTAGGTGAATATGGCAGGACAAACTCTTTTGCAGATCGTACCATGAAAACCTTAACTTTCACCACCAGTCAGCTTACAGAGTTTTGTCTAAAAGGTTTTTTAGTCTTTTGAGCAAATGCATGCAGTGAACTATGTATTTTGATGACTAAGGACTGAACCATTCCTGTCTAGAGCTTAACCTTTAACTTTAGGGTATGAGGGTCTTGTATTTCTGAAGCACACGCTTGGTGTGCACTTTAGCACCATGTCGAAGAGCAAAGCTCAGAGGAGCACAGGCACTTCTATTAGAGAATGGAATCAAGGATGGTACAACACTGTTCAGATAAAGTCCTTTGAAGAAGAGTGAATAATATCAAGCACTAGTGTGGTTGTTGCCCCTGTGTCCCTAGAAATTTTGTCTTTTGGATTTCTGCAGAAGAATGATGGAAATGCTGAATAGAAATAGAGATTTATGGAGTCCAAGTGACTCTACTGTGTATTTTAAGACGTACTTATAAGCAGCAGCTGCAGCAGCAATTATGATAAATTTAATATTTAGCATTCATTTCATGATACAGAAATAAAATGAATAATCCATCGATATAAATTGACTTGAGATGAATATCAAATTTCAAAATCTTTAGAGCAATTCTGTTTGCTAATCTACGTGAACATGATCTGGATTAAAGGGATCTGTATGGTTCAGCATTAACCAAGAGGGGAAAAGCCTGGCCTCAAAATGAGATAGATAACACTAGGCAGCTACCAGAAGTGTCGTAAAGACTTCTGTGCCTTTATGGCCAATGCCTTTGGTGAGCTCTGCCCCTGTGAAGCTGTTTGCCTTGCTCCCCTTAACTCTAAAGACTAGGTCTAAAATGTCCTTAGATACCCACAAAAGCAGGTAGACAGCTAAGGACATTAACTAAATGGACCAAATGACATGGGTGTTTTAACTAGACTCCATGTCTAACCTACTGAGGCACTTTTATAAATGTCACTGCATGCCTTTACGCTTCTTTGGGGGCCTAAGTACACTTGCAAATCTCCCCTTTAATACTTTTAAATACTTTGAAGCATGCCTCTCCATGTTCATTAATGTGAGATCAGTAGATGCACAACCAGACAGAATCCCATTTCCCCAAGGTAATCCTTTTTCATTTATAACATGCAAAATGTAGGGAATTATAACAGCAGTTAGGGAAAAAAAAAAAAGAAGGAAAAAAAAAGAAGTTGTAAAGCTATTTGAAATACCAAGACAAATGCAAATCAAGTCTAATCCTTTGTGCTTGAGCAGTGGCAGTTCATGGTGCGGTGGTGATTCCTACATGCTCTTTTGGTTACAAGGCAAGTAGAAACTGGAGAACAAATATGGCACATTGCCTTGGAGCAGGCTTGCCTTTTATTTTATATATAACAGTGGGTTTTAGCTTCTTCATTCTAAAAGTTTCATCGAGAACAAGTGCTTACCAAACTGAGAGAGGGATGAATAAACTCCTATTAAACTAAGAATAGCAATTCCCCGTCCCTCGTCCCCCTCTTCCCATGAATCCAAATGGATGAGGAGAAATATATAGGATTGCATTACCTCAGTCATTTTTGGCTTCCTGGAGCTGGACGGGACAAGCCTGCCTGCCTCTGGACGTGGAGCAGTAGCCATGGTGTAGGTTTCCTTGCTCACCTTCTGCTTGGACCTCAGGAGGGACAGGGCTGCTTTAGTGGATATACCTGGAAGGTTAGGATTATACAAGCTAATACACCAGCTGGCATACACTGAAGACCTTCGATCAACTTGCTGGATATGATTTGGCTTTATGTAGTTTAAATAGCACCAACTGACATTAGTGGTTGTGTGGAGACTGGGGAACTGAAGTACCTTCTTCGTATCTGTACCTTCTCGAGACTTCATTGCACTATGAGTGACCTCAGACAGAGGTGCAGTGCTTGGAGGGTTTGGTGGAGACTGCTCCACCACTTCTTTGGAGTCTTCTTTCTTCACGGGTTGTAAAGGTGCCTTGCTGAGGAACTGTTTGCCAGCTGGCTGCTTATACTCTTCCAGTGCCTCAAAACTTGGAGAACCGGAATGGGACACAGCTTGCTGCAAAGTACTTGGGATTTCCTTTGGCTCTGACTGCTCTGAGGACAAACTAGGTGGTGTTTCAACCTCGACCCTGCCTTGGCTTTCTGCAAGCAAGTGAGATTTATCCTGCTTTTTCCCTTCCTCTATTGCACTGGGTGGCTTCACCACTTCCAACTTCTCTTCTGCTTCAGACACTTCCTCTTCTTTCACTCTCTTCTGCTGTTGTGTTTCCATGGTCAGCTCCAAGCTACCAGCTGGAGAGAGCATTCTTTTGCTTCCACCAACTGTTGATGTGCCTCCTTCCAGTCCAAGTACACTGTCTGATGGGGAGGTGAGCGGCATGTAGCCTTTCCGTTCTGGTAAGGGTAAGGGCACTCTCAGATACGGGCTCTGGAAAATGCTTCTTTGATCTTCTGTAATCATCTGTGCCAGATCGAAACCTAGTCCATGAACATTGGTACTACAGACCAGGGTGCCCTTGGGTTGGTGATCATCAAATTTGGGGAGTACGATAGAAGAGGAACTGCACTGGGACTGAGTGACCAGAATCTGGGAGAGCGTTGTGTACATCGCACTCCCATAGGATGGCATATTTGTCTGTATGCGAACAGGGACAACAAGTGACACCATTGGGTCTGACCGTGTAGGAACAACGAGCTGAGACGTGGATACAGTCACTGAAGGACTTGTTGTGCAGGTCAGAGGATGCAACCTACTGTCCGAGTCATATTCCGTGCATGGCGAAAGAGTGGAGGCTCCCGCTGTCGAAAATAAACTGGATTTGATCTGCGGTAAATGTCCACCAGCTTCACCCGGCAACTGGAGAGCAAACTGAGACTGAAGAGGCAGAAAAAAGGCTGAAGGGATTGGTGAGGAGACGGGGTAATGCACCGGCAGGAATGAAGGATGCTGCCTGAATGGCACCTCGGCTGGGTGAGACATCAGTGGAGGAGCGATATGAAGCGGGCCTGGGTGGATGAGCGTTTGCGGGAGAGGCAGTGGTGGGGTCTGAAATATGGAAGGAGGAATCTGAGGCATGGTGAACTGAGCAGAGAGGATGTCAGACATCGTGTGTGCAGCAAAGAGCTCTGCAGACTGGCCTGGCTGCGGCAGGAGGTGCTGATGTGGGGACATGAATTGCTTTTCATGCAGCGTTAGCTGTGGTACGGGATGAAACACTTGCAGAGCTTCTGTGTATGGCTGGGTGTATGCTGGCTGAGGGCTGTCTTTTGGCTGACTCTTTTCACTTGGGTAAGTACCATGAGAGGGCAAAGGGGATGAAGATGTCGGCTGCTGTGGCAAACTTGTTGAAGGAGGTTTACTTGAAGAAGGAATTGGATCTTCTGTCTCTGGCCGGCCTGTTGGGGCCAAGTCTGGATCATGTTCTGGGTGCCTAGTGAGGGATGCTTGCCTAACTAGAAAGCATTTCCTTCGCTCCTGTGGAGCTGAGGAGGATGAGGGGCCAGGGGTTGAGGCAGGAGTGGACGACAAGCTCCCGTAGTCAAATGATTTACTGCGGGTCTCTGACATCTGGGAAGGATGGGACACATTCGGTGTCTGCTCAGAAGCAGATCTCCGCATTTCCCTGGAATGGTGATGGTGGCTTGGTACCATCAACATGTGTGAGCCAACACCAGGAGGCTTTGGGTGGGATTCAGAGGCCTGGCTCGTTGACTCTGACTTGCTGTGATCTTCACGATCAAAGGAGACAGAGTGGCTGGAGCCGTGGGATATGCTGCTTTCCTGACTTGGGCTTCGGGTGAGGGAGACAGATTCGAAACTGGACTCTCCGGAGGACTGAGCCATTTCTGCCAGCCGCAGCCTCTTCTTTTTTGGTGGAAGTTTCTCTGCTGGGAGCTGGGAAAGGGTCTGGCTCCTCTGCGGCCACTGAAATTCCTCCGTTTTCTCTGGCTCTTTTGGAGGAGGCTCTGGCTCCGTTTCTGGTCTGTCGGGCTCTTCTGTGACCAGAATCTCTGGGACCTGGATGTTGGGCTGGCGTACGAGCCTGGGCTGCAGGGAGTGAGGTGGTCGGCTGTGCTGGGGTGTCGGCTGAGACGAGTACTGTGGCAAGGGTTTGTCTTCCTCCAAGCTGCTTGCTTGCTCGATAGAGTCAGACTTCTCAAAGGAGCTTGTATGCTGGATAACAGAGATCTCCTTTGAGGTTGTTCTTCTCTCTTTGCCCTCTGCACTTGAAGCCGGTTTGGTATTCCTGGAATGGAAGCTGGCACTGACATCGGAAGGTGTGGATTTACCCGGATCTGCTGGTGACTTAATGGATTCACGGGTTAGGTTTAACGCGACGTCAGATGATGCTGGGTTTGCAAACTGAGTCCCTGGCGCAGTACTGGAGGAGGGAGTCTCAGACAGCTCAAAAGCTGGAGGCTCCTCGTCATCACCGAGACTCTTTTCCTTTCGCCTCTTTCGGAGCGGGGTGAGCTCCAAACTGCTCCCTAGCTTGTAATGCATCATCTGGGGCCACGTGTCAGGATCTGCAACATTTTTCTCAGTCTCTGAAGAGGTATGGGAAGCAGAAGAACGAGGCTTTGAGAGCTGCAGTTCTGAACAGTAGTATTTCTTATGGGCTTCATAATTGTCCCTTTTCTTATACCGAGCACCACATACGTTACACTCGTACATGAACCCTTTAACTTTCGGACCCTTCCGAGACTTTTTGGTAAGATCACTTTCCTTGGTTTCAGGCTCCTCAGGAGGTTTGGAAACAGTTTCTTTGTTCGCAGAGCTAACCTCCTCTGAGACGTATTCTACCCCCAAAGGTAGCTCAATAGCTGGTTGTCGTTTTAGCATTCGGGGATGGGAAGAAAACGCTTGACTGCGGCTTAAGACTTCAGGCTCCATGATGTGATCATCAAATGAATAGCTACCTCTAAAGGTATGTGGAGAGCTTATAGTGCATGCAGCAGAAGGCATTGAGTGGCTTCTTAGGAGAGGCACTGTCTCTGTGGCACTGTGGGATTGCTGAAGTGACAACAATGATTGTTCAGGCTTAATTTTTTCACCGTGGGATGTCAAAACTTTCGCTGCATCCAACTGGCTACTGGAACCAGACTTGATATCAAACTGAAACGGTTCTCTATATACACTGGACTTTGGAGATTCAATGCTGCTACGTCTAGATAAAGAGCTTCTTCTAGGCTTAACACTATCTATTTCACTGGTATCTACAACAGCTTCATTAATTGTAATTAGCTTAGTGATGTGTTCAATAACCTGTGTTCTAGGCACAGATAATGGTACCATACTAGGCTTCTCTTCACTAGACAGGTGGGGAAACCCCTGGGATGTGTTTGCACCTAACGCTGAAGTCCTTTGCCCAATTCTACCACATTTCCCAAAAATGATTTCTGCATAAGATTTTGCATTAGTATTTGGTGGGCTGATCTGCTGCTCTGCACTTTCTGATCTTGAGAAGTAGCCTGACTCGGTACTCCCTTTGCTCCCGGGGCTCAGGAAAGCTTGTTCATCTATGACCTTCTTCCGTTCGCTCAAGCGGAGTGCAAGCTTCTGCTTTATAGTATGGGTATCTTCGGATTTATGGCTCAGAGGATGGTCTGATGATGGCTCCGCAAACTGGGTGCTGTCCTCAAGAGACTGAGACATACTGGAATGAGACAATGAACACCGGTCATGGCTGGAGCCTTGGCTCCCTCCGCTCAGCAAACTACTGGACAAGAGCGTGTGCTTCTGCCTGGGGGAGAGCTCTACTGAATGGCCTGACATCGCACCCGTTTCCTCCTCCGAATCTGTGCTTTCTCCTTCTGTTGGCTCTTCAAAGTCCTCCCCACCAATCCTTTCCATTTCCAAGCTCGATGGATACATCTCTGCTCCGATCCCCGAGGCCAGCCCAGCTTTTATTCGATGAGCATGAGATTTCCTATGTTTATACAAATTGCTCTTAGTCTTAAAAGAAAAGCCACATGGAATGCAAGGGTATGGCCTCTCACCCGTGTGTGACCTGATATGTTTTTGGAGCACACTTGGCTTTGCACAAGGCCTGCTGCAGTACTGGCAAATATATTTGCCTGGCTTCTGAGGTTTCTTTTCCTTCTTGTGCACTTCCTCAGCTTGTTTTAAGGAAACCTGTGACGGGCGAGGGATATAGACCTTTTGAACGGACGGCATGTCCTCTCCAGGAATGATCGGTGAATGGGAAGGTAAGAGCTGGCCGTGGTGAGAATGAAGCCCGGGTGATGAAAAGGAGCCAGAGGGACCTGGTCTTACTGGATCAACTAGCTGCCACGTGGGACCTTCAAGGACATGCTCTGGTTTCCCAGGAGACATAAATGCTGGTGACAGTGCGTGCTGCTGAAGCTGCGAAACGTGGGGAGGATGTTCAAAAGAGGAAGGCTTAGGCTGCTTCTGATGTCCAGTCTTCTCCTGAGACTCCTCTCTTGGAATCGGCAAAGAACCAGAAAAGTGCTGCTGCGATATGATATCTCGGAGAGGGGTTCCTTGCGAAGGAGCAGAGCTGCCCTGGTACGTAGCTGCGGACGAAATACTGGCTTGGAAAGCCTCTCCTTTGGGAAGCCTCTTTCTTGGACTTTCCTCAGCCTTTTTTGTGCTCTTCTGGCTTTGTTCAGGATCCATGACCTTAAAAGGGTCTTTGAATGCTATTTCGGGAAGGTTTTGGCAGGCTTCATTTACGAATAATAAAGGTCTCTTCTGTAGATTCCCTGTTTTGCCTGCATTTGCTACGGAGCTGGAGCCGCCAGGAGATGGTTGTTGATTTAAGATATTACTAAAGTGTCACTAGTTGCTATTTGATTCAAAAAAAAAAATGTTTCAAGGTCAATAAAGTTCACATTGGTAACACATGACAAACTACTTCAAAGAGAGAAAACTTTCCAAAACTTTTAGTCCAAATATTTTCCTTGTGAACTTGGTTAAGGCTTTAAACCTTGCCATTTTATTTCAGTTGACAGTGGCAAGCCTTCAAAGTCAAGATGCAACCCACAATGTGTCTCTTGTTTGTTATGCAAACCTTTGAAAACTTGAGACTTTAGTGCTCATCTCACAATGATCTTTTTTTTCCTGTGCAAGGAAAATAACACTGAACGGTGTGTGTCCCCCTGTGTCTTCCTTCTGTTCCACTTTTGAGTTCAAAAGTCTTGGAAAAGTATTTCCCACATTTCTGTAATTACATCCAAAAGAAAACAAACAGAAAAAATTACTTCAGCATTTGTCTTTAAGCAACGAAAAGCTGCTACTTCTATAGAAGGTAACAGTAAATATTTTGCACACAAGTAATTCAGAATCACTGATTGAATGTCTGCCATTCACAAGAGATTACTTTTAATGGTAATCTAAACATAAATTGTACCAAGTCAAACCTCGGAGCCTCATACTTAGTTCAATGCACACATAACCTGGCTCTGCAGCAGTAACCAAAGACAGTAACTTGAAACACAGAAACTTTTGAAATGTGTATTAAAATGGTTTCAAACCTGAATTCCTTCTAATTTACTGCTGACATTGATGGGTTTACAGTTTTTGTAATTGCATTTCCCTCCCAAACAGATGCCACAGTAAAGCTGACTAAATACAAAGCGCTGCCTAATGCAGCACATACATTCACTGACAAAGAAAAGGCGAATCTTTTCTGCATAAGACCCACTCTTAAGCTTGCAACTATCTTCAGTGTCATTTACAACAATAGTAGGTAAAGAGAAAGCACACGTACTGTTATACTGAGATGTTGCCTCTTTAATTTCCTGCCTTTTGTCACCAAACAATAGTAAACCCAACTTTTATAGGACGTATTTTATACAGGCGGGATGTCAAAAATGGCTGTCAATAAATGGGCACCCTTCTTACAATGAATTTGAAGGTGAGGCTCTATTAAACCTACTTCCCTTGTCAGCAAATACAGCTATTACTGAAATACTCAGGGAGGAAATACTCCGATTCCACTGAAATAAGACAGCATCACCAAGAGATGGAATAGAAAATTGGTGGGATACTTCTAAGGAAAATAAGGATGGTGCTTTTAAGCAAAGAAAATTGATACATGTAATTTACAATGAGAAAAGAACTATCTTCTTTACAAAGCTGTTATCTGCCTTAGGATGCACTGCCTTGCTATGACAGAATTGCATTGGTTTAATTATGGGAAATGGGTCAAAGTCCTGCTGCTTTGATGCTGCCCCATGCAGTGGAAGGGTGCATGGACGGGGATGAAGCATAACAGGGAAAAACAGGGGACTGAGATTTTAGCTGCACAATGGCCCAACTTCATCTTGAAGAGAAACAGTGAAGAGCCAGCAGAAGAGGTTGGTTGTGTTCAAAATGAAGTCCTCCAAGGATTACCCACTCCTTACTCATTCCTAAACCCTGTGAACTCTCCACATTCAATGAGAAAAGAGAGACATGGAATGTAATTTAACAGAGGGCCTACAAGGATGCCAGAGAGGGATTCTTCATGAGGGACTGTAGTGACAGGACAAGGGGGGATGGGTTAAAATGTAAACGGGGGAGGTTTAAGTTAGATATAAGGAAGAAATTCTTCCCTGTGAGGGTGCTGAGGCGCTGGCACAGGGTGCCCAGAGAAGCTGTGGCTGGACCCTGCCCGGCACAGTGCACAGGCAGTTGGACACAGGGGCTTGGAGCAACCTGCTCTGGTGGAAGGTGTCCCTACGTGTGGCAGGGATTTGGAGCTGGATGAGCTTTAAGGTACCTTCCAACCCAAACCAGGCTGTGGTTCTACAACGTATGATTAGTTACCATTCCAAACGTTCAGTCCATCCTCAGCCTCTTCTGACGAACACATGGGCCTCAGCTGATTTTGTTAGGAATTCTGCACAGAAGTTATCATTTAAAGGACTGGTCAACAAACAAGCACACCTGCTGCCTGCAGCACTGAGCACATCCATTCCGAAACCATCCACACCACTTTCCACATATTTTTGACATTACTGGAAATGGTCCCTGGAATGGGAATGGCAAGAGATCATTCTCCTGGCTGGATGCAGTTACTCCAGATTGATACATCCCCAAGGAAAATTCAACAGTGCAAAATAAAGTGGCAGAAAAAAAATGAAGTCATAGAACCACAGACTGGGTTGGGTTGGAAGGGACCTTCGAAGGTCATCTAGTCCAAACCCCTGCAATGAGCAGAGACATCTTCAACTAAATCAGATTGCCGAGAATCACACCTAACCTGGCCTTGAACATCTTCAGGGATGGGGCATCCACCACCTCTCTGTGCAACCTGTGCCAGTGTTTCACCACCCTCATTGTAAAGAATTTCTTCCTCACATCCAGCCTGAATCTCCCTCTTTAAGTTTAAAACCATCCCCCTTGCTCTATCACAAGAGGCCCTGCTAAGAAGTCTGCCCATCTTCTCTGTGAACTTAGAGGCGTGGTAGAAGAAGGGAACAAGATACCTAATGCTACTCTGCCCATCTCAGATACAGCCTAGGGCAGCTAAGAGTGTCTCATTGCATTACATCAGATAAGACATTGTGTTCCTGCTGCTCTCCCTCTTGCCTGATGATCCCTCTAGCTGGCAGAGGCGAGGGGCTAGTGTGGGTCAGGCTTCACAGAGCTCCTGTGCACACAGACAGCTTCCTGTTGACTCCTTCTGGAAATGCAATGGGACTAACGCTGGTGGGAAAGCCTACTCTTGTTCTTCCTCGTTGTCCTTCCAGTTTCTATTTTCTTCGTCTCAGTCAAAATCTGTCTTCAGACTTCAGCTTTTTAATATTCATTACATTTTACCAGTTCTCCCCTTTGTTTCTCAGAAAAGGCACATCTTTTGCTTTTACTTTCATCTGTTCTCCCTCATGAGCTGAGTAGCTTCTTCTCCCTGTCGTGTTGTGCTTCTACTAGTTCTTCCTTACTACTTTCACTTTGCATTTACTCTGCACTGGGCTCCCTGTAGAACAGCACAACAGCAGCTAACACACAGCAAGGCAGCGCATGGCATTGGCACAACACAGAATCATAGAATCAACCAGGTTGGCAAAGACCTTTAAGACCATCAAGTCCAACTATTCCCCCAGCACTGTGTTAGTCCAAATACTACCTTATTCCTAGAGA